GCGCGGGGATGCCCGGGCGGGCCGCGTCTGCCCTTCGCGTTCCCCTTTTCCGCGACTCGCGCCCTCTGAAATTGCCCCGCGCTTTGGAGGCTTCGGGTCAGGGTCTCGATGTCCGGCGATAAAACCCGACCGCGCAGACGAAGGCGGCGGGACCACTTACAAATGCTTCCCCGCGGCCCGCAGCTTTCCCCCGCGCCGCGGGTTTGCGGAGCCTCCCTGTGCGCGGCAGGGTGGTTACGCTGCAGCCGCGGGCGGCTGGAGTTCACGCTCGATTCTCTTTCCTTATGAGGAAACGGCAGCGGCGAGGGTGACTTTAAAGAAAAAAATCGTAGAAGCATTCACTGAAATCCAGAATGTTTTTTTAAGGCCTGCAGAGTTGACACAATACAGAAGGTATTTTTGCTGCTGCTCCTGAAGCTCTGACATCACCCAGTGAAATAGGAAACATTTCAGGGATGGGACAGCGCGTATTTATTTGTTCCTTTCGATCCACCTTCCATTTGCTTTTTCCTCCACTGTCCTTTAAGAAGGATGAATGGGCAGGTTGAATTAGATCGGCTTGCATTACTTGCGTGGTTTTCTACAATTTTTAACGTCCGGACTAAAGTGAATCTTCTAGGCAAACAATAATTTTGGCTAAAACCAAAATACTTGTTCTGAATTACTCTTCTTTATTTTCAGGCATCTGGAGTTACAGTGAATGATGAAGTCATCAAAGTTTTTAATGATATGAAAGTAAGGAAATCTTCTACACAAGAGGAGATCAAAAAGCGAAAGAAAGCAGTTCTCTTCTGTTTAAGCGATGACAAAAGACAAATAATTGTAGAGGAAGCAAAGCAGATCTTGGTGGGTGACATTGGTGATACTGTAGAGGACCCCTACACATCTTTTGTGAAGTTGCTACCTCTGAATGATTGCCGATATGCTTTGTACGATGCCACATACGAAACAAAAGAGTCTAAGAAAGAAGACCTAGTATTTATATTCTGGTGTGTAAAAACAAAAGAAAAAAGTACTTTTAAAATGCAAGGATTATTATTATCACAGTCAGTTTTGCCCTTGTTTTTCTAATAAGTGAGATTCAACAATTTTTTTTTTTTTTTTCCTGTAGGGCTCCTGAAAGTGCACCGTTAAAAAGCAAGATGATTTATGCTAGCTCTAAAGATGCCATTAAAAAGAAATTTACAGGTACAAACATTGACTACTTTGTGCAAAGAAGTGACTGTTTCCTAATTGTAATAAGGTAATGATGTGGTTTTTTGGTTTTTTTTTAGGTATTAAACACGAGTGGCAAGTAAATGGCTTGGATGATATTAAGGACCGTTCAACACTTGGAGAGAAACTGGGGGGCAATGTAGTAGTTTCACTGGAAGGGAAACCGTTATAAAACGACAGTCAAGTGCCATCCGGATCTTAAGGGGCTTTCATTTTTCCAGCTCAGTCCATTGGAATAGTATTAGGTTTTGTTTTTATTTTTTTCCCTTTCCACTGGACCCTTCCAACACAATGAATGAAGGAGATACCATTCATTTAAGCAGCTTGTCAGTGATTGCCATTAGACTGTTTAACACGGTTGCTTTTAAGTCCAGCCCGAGGAATGCCTTCCCACCTTTAGCCAAAACTGCTGGTTACATGCCTCCCTTGCTGCAAGCACTACAACGAATGTGATTGTCAATGTGAATACCTTAGAATACTGCAGAGGATAAGCTAATTGAATTGCCTTGAAAGTATTAGCCACTGGTCAGATGGTAAACTTTTTTCAGTATTATTTATAGTTGCACTTGATTGCAGTTCTGTGAGGCGCTCGGCGTTCATACACCTCACCTGCCTTGGCAAGCCTAGTTTTGTGACATGGCAGCACAAATATAACACTATGCATTGAAAGCACTTTTTTTGTAATGAGTTTAATCCTCTGAAAAGAATGCCAATTAAGTTTCATTAACTGTGTCATCAGTTTATCCTAGTACCTCAGTGTTCATTCCTGTTACCTGCGTATCTTAAATAGCTGTTACAGTATTAATGCCTTTGTGTTTTTTGTTGAGTGTACACTACTGAATGAGTGTAGAAGTTTTATGTTTACCATGTGAGTCTTGCAACACTACAGATAGTTCGAATATCAGTCATGATGGCAATTTCTGTAAAAAAGAGCCTTAAATGGAACATTGTTTTGAGATCAAACTCCCTACCCTCACAAAAATGGCCACGTTGCAATAAAAAGTGTGGCATATTACAGAATGTTGCCTTGTTTTCCTTGGAAATTTTGCAAAATGTTACGTGGAACAACTTTTAGGTAAAGTTATTAATGTCTGCATTGGTCATTTTGAAGACTTTTTTGTACAACATTCATGCATGATATTTTCTAGATTTTTGGATTTCTTTGGTTTAAAAAAATACCCTAGAGCCACCTAATATAAAATACCATCCTTTAAGAGTGGTACTTTTATAAACATGTTTATTTATTTTAATAATGGAAATTAGAGGGTTTTTTGCACTTTGACATAAGTATTCTTGAATATTTAGTTTTCTGAATAAATTTTTTTTATTCACATTTACATTTTTGAATAGGAAGTTTTTCGTGCTTATTTGGTCATAATGAAAATAAGTTACAAAATGTTCTTTAAAAGTTTAATATTTCTGATGTTTAGAAACATTGAGCTACTGGTCCTTAATATATTTTCCAAATTGAATTGGAGAAAGGAATTGGTACCGCAATCTTAAACATTAGTAGTGGGATTTGGCCTTAGTCCAGATTGCACTCCTTATAGAGAATTTGATCTACTCAGTGTGAGCACTTTGCTGTTAGCCAGAGCTATTTATGGCAAACACATGCTTTTGTATCTTGTCATAGTTATCCACAAATGGCAAAACTGGATTTGATTCTACTGGTATGCAAAACAGGCATGCTAGTAAGCAGTCATGGCTCAGAATTTAACCCCATAGTTCTAAAGAATTCTTTTATCAGAAAACAGGAAATGAAAATAGCCCTTTTTAAAAATGTATTAAATATGTGAAAATGAAGTGTAATTAGATTGTCTCCATATTTTGAAAGATTTTTCAGGTGAGACTAATAAACAGGTTAAATGTCTAGGCTTGCATTTATAATTGTATGAATGGCTTGGGATCCTTTTTGCCCTGAGCAATTTTATTTCAGGCTTCCAGCTGTCCCTGTGAGTTGTGCTGGAAATTTCAGTGGCTTTTTGGTAAGGCCAAATTAATAAGCAAAACATGAGAATATTAATGTATCCTAAACCATATATGTAACAGATACACATACCATGGAGATTTTCATTATTTCCTTGTTCTAATAATGAACTAAAAAGCAAATCAGTTATGTAATATCTTTTGTTTCTATAGCTGATTCGATGTCCTATGTCTTTATATAATAGAGATTAGATACTTTTATTTTTTTTTAGATACTGCTTTAAACTGATAACTTTGATTTGTTAGATTGACAAAAACATTAATGTAGTTCATCTTTGAACTACACCTTTGTGCATAGAACCAAAATAATGATATAATTAATAATGGATCACATGTTGAGACTAATTTGGCATTTGAAATGATCTTATTTTATAATCATTTACAGTGAAACAATGTTTCAGTTAGCTTTAAAAAGTATATGGTGCTAATTAGTAAAATATTGAGGACAATATTTTACTGCTGGCTTGCAGAAATTATAAGTGTTTAAAAAATAAAATATATGAAATATTTAAAGCTGTTGATATGTGTTTACTTACACTTTGGAACACTAAAAGTTGAGAAACAAATATTGCAGATGAAAAGCACCATTATCTGTAGTCTTGTTTTGGAGTTTTAGTTGATGTATCTTCTCATTTATTGAAACTAATTTTTTTTTTAAATGTTGAAGCAATTTTAGCATTTTCAGACAAATGTGGACAGTTGGCATTTGTCCCAAACTGGCTCTCAGCTGTCATTTTCGATCATTATGTAAAATAGTATGGCCAGCATTCTGTAGTTATGTGCCATTTTAGTACATTAGGTGAAAAGTCTCTTATGAGGTTTGAATTTCTCTGATACAGATCTTTGAGACAGCCAGTCTATGGGATCTTAGCTAATAGGCATTGGGAAAAAAAACTTCAAAATGTTTTGTTTTGTTTTTTTAAATCTTAGCAGTGATAAACTGTTGAAGGGCTTGGGACATTCATTAGGTTTGCCTTTTAAAAAATCTTGTCCTGGGGCCAGAGATGTAGCTCAGTGGTACAGCACCTGCCTGGCAAGTATGAGGTCATGGGGGGCTGGGGATTTAGCTCAGCGACAAAGCGCCTGCCTGGCAAGCGCAAGGTCATGAGTTCGGTTCTCGGTACCGGAGAAAAACCAAAAAAAAAAAAAAAAAAAGTCATGAGTCCAGTTCCCAGTACCAAAAGAAAAATCTTGTTCTGCCCTCTTTAGGTCCTGTTTTTGCTTGCAAATTTAATAGTAGTTGGAGATGCGAAATAATAGTCATTTTTCTGTGAAGAGTAAAGCCTGAGGTGTGCAGGCCAGCCTCATACAATGTTCTCAGACAGCTGAGTCTATAGGTGTTGTGTCTCACTGTAGGGAATAAACAAGTCAGGCTTTTCCTTTGCTTCAGAATCATAAATGCTGTCTTTCCATGTAGAACTGGGAGTTTTTAGTCCAGTTTCCTCTCCATGTAATTGGGCAAATTATTCATTCTGAGCCTCAGTTTTTTTAGTGCATGATACGGAAATGATAATATCTGTCTACCATTGCTGGTGGAAAAACAAATGGTTTTTTGGAAACAGGAAAAAGTTACGTAAATGTAATAATTTGTTTAAACATTTACCCTTAATAGATGTAAAGAGATAAAACAGCCAAGTTAATAAGATTTATTAAAAACCATTGCACCTCTACTTTGTAATTACTCCACTCACTCTCGTTTAAGGACTAATTAAATGATACACCTTTTCTTGGACATGTAGAAGGTATAGTTAACTTAGAAGTGCAACTTCTGACGTGATCATGACTTGATCTTTTTAGTGTGTTCTTGTTTGTTTCTTGAGAAAGGGTCACACTGTGTAGTTCAGGCTGGCATTAAACTTGTAGTGATGCTCCTGCCCTAACTGCCCAAAGGTTTGGATTACTGGGCTAGATTATAGGTGTGCCCAGCAGTGTTGTGTTCTTTTGGTCTTTTCCCAACATAATTTAGAAGGAGAGATAGTACTGTGATTCTAGTGGTTAAGTACCAGTACTCTGACATCAGACTGCTTGGGTTATCACATAGAGGTCTTCAAAACTAACTGAATGATCTCAGGCAAATTATTTAACCTAAGAGCCTTAATTGTTCCAGCTATAAAACGCGGATAAACAGGGATGGTGTCACCCACCTTTAGTCGCAGCACTTGGGACGCTGAAGCAGGAGGATCACTGCAAGTTTGAGGACACCCTGGGCTATATAGTGAGTTCAAGACCAGCCTGAACTACAAAGCAAGACCCTGCCTCCAAAAAAAAAAAAGTGGTAATTGTACCACATCACATTGAATTTGACATGTGGATAAATGAAAACATTTGGAGTAATAGTTCACACATAGTACGTGCTCACTAGAATGATCCTAAAATTTATGGTCCAAAGCAGGACAGTGAAAGTGAAGGGGAACACTATTAATTATGGCAAGACAACAGGATTTTTTGGTTTGGTGTTTTTGGAGAGTTTGTTGTTTTGTTTTGTCTTTTTGAGACAGGGCTCACTGTGCAGTTCAGGTTGGCCTTGAGTTCACTTTGTAGCCCAGGTGGGCCTTGAACCCATAGCAACCCTTCTGCCTCAGCCTCCCAAGTGTTGGGATTACAGGTGTGCTTCACCTGGCCTGGTTGACAACAGGTTTGAAAAGGACAAATTCAAGCAAACGAAGGGATATAGTTACCCTATCAAGAAGGTAGGCTGAGGCTGGGTGTGGTTTTGCACACCTGTAATCCCAGCACTCAGGAGGCTGAAGCAGGAGGATCCTTGCCGGTTCAAAACCAGCCTGGGTTACAAAGTGAGCTCAAAGCCAGCCTGAACTGCACAGCAAGACCCTGTCTCAAAAAGACAAAAAAAAAAAAAAAAAAGCTGATATTAAAATGTAATAAATGAGCTATAGTAAAGACAGTCATCATTTATCACATATACAGTGACTTGAGAGACTCATGCAGTACATGCAGTATATGATTGTGCATCTAGCTTTTCATGCCTCTTTCACTTTGTACCGGGAAACTATCAGATGCTCCATGTTGCTGTTATTGTATGTTTGTAGCATACTTTTCGTTCACTTCACTCTTGACTCCTGACACCTAATCATATGTAACAATTTAGTGGCTTACTGGACAAAAAAAAAATTGGAACAGATTTTTGTGCAAATGAATAGTCATTCTTGCACAGAAATGAAAAAGGAGCTAATGGTACATACTATTGTGGCATATTTTATTTAATGTGCTCAATGGAATTTCAAATATTTCCTTTGGGAAGTTGGTAGCTACTGAGTGAATTACAAAATTCCTGGACGTACAGCCCAGAGCCTGTAAAGGGTGTTCCTATGAGTTGATGGGGCCTTTTTTGTTTGTTTGTTTTTTAGCTCAGTGGCACAAACACCTGCTTGGCAAGCACAAGGTCCTGAGTTCGATTCCCCAGTACCAAAAAAAAAAAAGAACCCCCCCCCAACATGCTAGCTGGATGTGGTGGCACATGCCTGTAATTCCAGCAGTGAGACACAACACCTATAGACTCAGCTGTCGAGAAGCAACATTCAGTGAGGCTGGCCTGCACACCTCAGGCTTTACTCTTCACAGAAAAATGAATATTTATATTGCTTTGCATCTCCAACCACTGTGATCTACTATCATCTCAGGCAGGTTATTTAACTGAAGAAGCTTAATTGTTCCAGCTATAAAATGGGGGTAACCAAGCATGGTGTCACTTGTAGTCGCAGCACTTGGGAGGCTGAAGCAGGAGGAACACTGCAAGTTTGAGGACAGCCTGAACTACAAGTCAAGACCCTGCCTCAAAAACACGCTAGATTACCAGACTTAAAAAGGCAGCTCTCTAGGGGCTGGGGATTTAGCTCAGCTGCTCAGCACCTGCCTGGCAAGCACAAAGTCATGAGTTCTGATTCCGGTACTGGGGGAAAAAAAAAAAAAAAAAAAAACTATAAAAAGGCAGCTCTCGACAGGTATGGTGGCACACGCCTATAATCCCAGCACTTGGGAGGCTGAGGCAGGAGGATCATTGTGAGTTCAAGACCACCCTGGGCTACAAAGTGAGCTCAAGACCAGCCTGAACGCATAGGGAGACCCTGTCTCAAAAAAACAAAAATAAATAAATAAAACGGCAGCTCTCAACTTGTCATAACTATGTATCATTTTATAGAAATAGCAATGACAGAGTATTTTGTTCTAGAAATCATACAACTTTATCATGCAGGAAACAAGATGATGTGAAATAGTTGTACTTTATGAAGTAAGTAGCAAAGAATTTTTTTTGGTTTGGTTTTTTGAGACAGAGTCTTGCTGTGTGGCCCAGGGTGGCCTTGAGCTGGCTATGTAGCCCAGGCTGACCTTAAATGTGCGGTGATCCTCCTGCCTCAGCCTCCCAAGTGCTGGGATTACAGGTATCTTCCACCACACCCCACTTGGAAAAGAATTATATGTGGAAATTAATGTTTAAACTTTTTGTGTGTAAAATAGCAGTAGGTCAAAGATTTAGAGGAAAAAGTCACATTCCCTGTAACTCAGAATTGCTGTTGGCGATTGTGTTACAAAGAGATGTGGAGAATTTTCAATTTTAAAGTCTTACATGAGGGGGAAGGGGACAAGGAATTAACAAAACTGGGGTTAGCCCTTTTCCAAATTTGAAAGTCAGATTTTAAATACCTTTTTAAAAGGCTTGACCATTTAAACCTCTCCTTTTATTTTAAGTAAAGGAAAATAACATTGTAGATTTACAAGCTAGACGTGGTGGTGCACAGTTATACCGAGGGAGGAGGATCAAAAACCGAGGAGCAGCCTAGGCTACATAGCAAGACAACAAGCAGAAGGCAGAACCACAGAAACAAAAAATGAATTGTTGATTCACAATCTTTAATACAGTTGCATACTGAGTAATGCATATACTGTGAATAGTTGGTACGTTAGGGTTTTGGGGTTTGTTTTTTTTTTTTTCTTTTGGTACTGGGAGTCGGACTTAGGACCCTGCGCTTGCCAGGCAGGCACTTGTGCTGCTGAGCTATATCTCCAGCTAGGGTTATATTTGTTAGTATTTAGGAAATTGACAGAGCATCCCTCATTTTTGTTTGCAGCTACTGTACCTATTAAAGAGAAATACTTTATATTTGATTGTGCAGCTATTTTTAAGGACTATCTGATGGTGATTTAGGTAGGTGGCTTGTGTCCTGACTGTAGAAAAATGTTTGGGGATTGTCATTTGGTGTCGTTGCTACCATAAACAAGTTTCCTCCTCTGAGCTGGATGTTCTATGTCATTCACATTCATTGTTCACATTTATTTCTGCTTATTGACCATGTGGATTATGAAGAAATGTGAGGAGTTAAATTTGTGTGCTTACAGTATTGCAAATAAATGATGGAATTCTAGATGAGTCATAACATTTTCCAGGCAGGCGCTTATGCCACTGAGCTATATCCCCGCCCCGAGTCATAACATTTTCAAAGGAAAGTCCTTAAAAATAAACTAAAGGAATAAGGTTGATAGTCTTCTGCATAACACTT